GTGTGAGTATTGGAGAATGATAAAGATCAAGAGAAGAAATAAATCTTCCTACATCCTCGATATTTGACTGCTTTCAAATAAATACGGACAGTATGCAGATATACACTACTGGTCATAACTCCTGGGCTGTGTGATACTCCATCATGGCTTCGATAATTTTCCATCAAATTTTTACCAGAGATAGGGCTTCAAAAACTGTGATCGCCAGCACTGATCCGAGCTCTATCGACTGAGATAGTATAGAGTTATCACTCAAATACTATAGTCTGATCAATTGAAAGTGGAAGTAAAAATTTGATTTTTTTTTCATATAATTTGGGGAGAAAAAACCAAGTTCTCGCTGAGGCTTTTGGCTCCTAGTAAAATAGTTACTGTAATACTATGAGCTACAAATTTCAATAAAAACTTGGCTTTCTTTCTTTGCAGATATACGAGAAAAAATCAAACGTGTTACTTCTACTTTTATTTGATCAAACTATAGTATCATCACCGTTTTACCTGTAAACCCATGTTCATAGTTTTTATTAAAAACAATCGAGATGCTAGAAGTCTACGAATAATAAATGCCTACTATGTATGCCTGTATCGCGAAATCAATTAACATTAACAAGCTAAGAAACCATTTAGAGATTAAATAAGACTTCTAGCATCTCGATTGTTTTTCATAAAAACTGTCAATATTGGTTTACAGGTAAAGAGAGGTGAAACTGGTGTTTGAATCATGACTCCATACTGCCTCAGTTGATAGAGCTCGGATTGGTGCTGGCGATCACAGTTTTCTAAGCTCTATTTCTGGTAAAAATTTGATAGAAAATTATCAAAATGGTAGGAGAGTATTACACATCCCGTGACTTATGATAAGTAGCGTATTATATCTGTCATAGTTTCAGGTACGTGAGATTCTTCTTTCAAAAAGTAAAAAAAGGACGAATACGTTTTAGTTAGATATTTGTACCTATTGAAGTGAGAATCAAGTCATTATATACTAAGGACTAACCTTGCAATAAAAGAACACATCTATATTTCAACGAACTATGAAGATTAAAAAAGACGTCTTCATGTCTATCCACAAAAAAAAATGAATTTTTAACATTGCTCGATATCACGCTATGGGATTTTTCTAAACTCTGACATCGAACCGACTGGATAACAATAAGTGACTATTTCAGGTTATCATCTTCTGATGAAAATGTAAAGGTTCTTGAGTAAATCATAGAATTCATATGCTTAGTGTAACACTTTCTAGATAGAAATTTACAACTATGCTGTGTAATGAAGAACCGATAAAATTTATATTGATAACGAACACTGCAACAACATCATGTGCAAAGCAAAAAATTTTGTTCCTTTAAATACAATGCGATACTCCTTTGATGAAAGAAGATGAGAGAGATAACGCTTTCTTTCTTTTGTTTGTGGCAAGATTACACAAGAATGAATGGTCGAAAAAATGTTATTTTGCTTTCGTTTTTCCTGCTCTTATGTCTACCGAACCAATTAAATTCGGTTGATCCTTGTGTTCACGATGTGAATCAAAAAGGTGTAATAGATTTAACCAGTGTTGGTCATGTTGATGGAACGCCTGCATGGAAAAACATAGTACCTGACCTGAGTGACAGCCACGGTATTTGTGCTTACTTTCTACATTCACAAACAGAAAATATAATTCTTTCTAGTATACTCATACAATCCATGCCATCCATTCACTCAAAGCTCATGTAAAAATGTTGCTGCTTGTCAAAGTACGGACGATTAGCACATCATTTTCAAATATATTTTCTTGTAACTTCATGTAGCATTTGCGTCTGACGAAAAAACAGCCTATTCGTTGGGCACTCAAAATAGTTTACAATGGAAATTTGCACCAAGTCAAGAATACCCTACTCTGATCTACAAAACGACAGAAAGAACATTGCATGTTGACTTACAATGTTTGAGCTCGGGAGAACCTGATAAGTTAGAAGTGCATGGACAAGATCCTAAAACAGGTCTCTATAACATGACATTATCATCCAAATGTGTATGCTGGAATGGTTGCAAAGGTTAGAAATAGATTCTATATTATGATCTAGTATAAAATATTCTATCTATCATGACAGATAAGCCTAGTCCCGATCCAAATCCACAAAATCGATTGAGTATCGGAGCAATATTTATCATTGCACTCGTGGCTCTGGTTACTATCTATTTGGTCGTGTTCATATCTTTCAACAAGCTCAAACGACAAGCAACCGGCATCGAAATTCTTCCACATCGTACCTTCTGGGTCTCGTTACCTCGTTAGAGACTATTTACATATGTCGAAGCACGAAAATGATAAATGTAAAATTGAAGCATATGACTTCCATTACATCTTGTAGTCATTCAATATAAGTAAGACATCTTTCCATCTCATTTTTATTCGCATCAGCGATCATGAATGTATCGAAAATTTCAAACTTCGGAAGGTTTCATTCATGAGTATAAAGTGAAGCACCTAAATCAGTCTAAAACATAGACTACAGGATTGATTTTCGAGCTTTTAAATTGAATATTGTTTAATACTCTATGAAATATATTCAGAGAGCATTTTAATAAATGGTAGCAGCTTGCCTTGAAAACATCAGTTTTTGAAAAAAGAAACCTTTCAGCTAAATCTCATTCTGAGACAAGACTAAAAGTGGATCTATTGAATATTGCATATAGTATGCGCTGAAGGAGGAAACACTTATTTATCTTTATTAGTTGCAAGAGCAGATATTTTGTATTATAAAAGGTAACTCAGTTGAATTTCAATGAAGCTGCTTGCATATATGATGTTATTATGCCAAACACATGTGTTTGTTCCAAAAAATGAAAAAAAAAGTACAAAAAATCTTCGCAAAAGATGTACCATTTATGATCAAGAAGTTTTAACTGGCTTTTAGAAATTTAATTTGAAAACTAAAAAACAAACTGAGTCATAAATGGTATATTTACTCGTGTACCAAAGAATGCTGTCTTAGGGATATCATTCCCTTTTTCACCATCTTTGACACACACTTTTACAAGTCTGCTTCTATTCTTCTGAAATACGAATAAACACTGCATTGCTGCTAAAAGAATGTTTTACGCGTTACCATAGTAATGAGCTGTACAAGATATCATCAATACTGAAGAGAGTTAATCGAATTTAGATAGCAACATTGATTAATAATAATTCAAATAGACTACGTTATATTCCAATAATTCCGTACTCGTTTGATGGAATTAAGTTTGTCTTTCACACAATAAGGGGCAAGCAAACAAGCTACACCGTTGTTCCATAGTCATGATGTTTCTTATGTTTCAATACACACTTTTTCTCTTTCTAACAAGTACTACTCTCAATGGACTCGAGAATTCACTTTGTGTTCATTTCTGTTCATATTTTATTTGACAATGAATATGGTATTTCTTCTTTCGCTTTTCACTTGTGATATTTTGATTGTTTGTACTCAAACTATAGACTTCAAATGATTTGAAAGGTTTCATATCTATGTTTATTATCAAATCAGATATTGACCGAACATAAAACATTACAAATGATTCTAAAACTTGACATCCATTTCTTGATCCAGGTTACCTCATATGGAAAAGGGTGTGGGGAAGAGCATGGGCATGTGTGTGAGTCGGTTTTTCATATAAATCTCATACTCTCACCCTCTGCTGATTATCTATTCGCCGTTTTATTTTGCACATACAGCTACGTATAGATAAATCGATTGAACATATAACACTTGTATTTTTGTATGTCTTTTTCTTTTCTAGATTATTGATCGATTGGTTAGAGTGTGGATGTTGGTGTGAACCAAGAGCAGACTGACACCCATACCCTAAACGATGACTTATTATCATAAAAAAAATATTCAATCTAGTTTAATTATAGAACGAAATCGTTAATCTTAATCGAAATCAAACGACTTTTTATTGAAATTTTTAAAAACTTTGATAGAAATATCAACTTTTAAATATATTGATGAGATATCCCTCAAACTTCTAGAAATGAGAAAACGCTTTTCAAAATAGTCTATGAATTTAAATTGATTTATTACTTATCAATAGATGGCCTCTTCATCTGAGTATATGACAAAACTGGGGTAACAGCTGCTTTAATAAAGGCCCTTTACAATGCATACTCGAACTATGGGGTATATTATCTAGATAAAATAAAATTATTCATAAAACAACATGAATACATACAAGCAACATTTTATTCGCATGACTACTTATAATCGATGGGGTTTTCAACAATTCTATAATAAATTAGATAAACATATTTCTAATGAGAATTATCATGCCAATATTTTTCTTCTAGACATTCTTCCTTCAGAATCTCTCCACGATCATATGAGACACAAATACCTGACATCGGCTTACCTCATGCCAAATCTTATCTCTACCAAGATGACCAACAGCATTATGACATTCATTAATTGTTTGAAAGAAGATTTTCATAGATGACAATAGGTAACTTTTCCTTTTCGCAGCAGATTATTTGTTGATCATCAAACGTAACAACAGTAAAGCGTCTTTTTGTCCAAGAATTAAATGATGTATCGTATTTCTTTTCATTTGTTAGCACGTACGATACTTTGTCGTAGGTTTCAGCTGTTATTAAATACTTTGATAGTCGCTTCACGCTTAATGTACTTAGATAAGCATCGAACTTCGTGTAGAGGATTTCTTTCGTTATTAGTAAATGAAACAATGGTATTAAAGTTATCAAGAAAATCTTTGTCGAATTTACTTCGATCGTTTTACGTCAGTTACAACTATTTATTATCGATTATTGCATAACAACTTCTAATATCTACATTTTATTGCCACCTAGTTGACAATAGAATTCTAAATTGAATTAGTTGCCTTTTAAAGGTAACTGAATTTTAATGTCAACTCCGACATCTATATGATTTCATATTAAAAGGAATTTCTTAATCCGGCTCAATCCAAGCAGATAGACTTGATTTCTATAAATTTCTTTTTGTATTTAAAACAGTTCAGTGTGCTTATTTTTCAAAGGACTAATTTGAATTTCCATGAAATTTTTCTCATAGTCATTTCATTTGAATTTCCTGAAAAGAGGAGCTTACCATCTCATGAGTCACAGGACCCAGTTCGTAAAAAGAGAACCAGTTATCAAACCCAGTTCATGGCACAAGAGCTGATCAAGGGATCCAGTTCGTGACAAAGAACTAGTTCTTGGAACTGGGAACTATCACAGGTCTATTTCACAGTTGCCATTTTAATAAATCATACATTTTTCTTTTCGAACGATTTTCATTCAAAATTCTTTTATTTTAATTCAATTCGAAACAAAATTTTTTTATTCATCGATTAAAAATATTTTCCAGATTCAGTAAGATATGAAGGACTTGAAATCTATTAGAACGACTTTTTCCTTGATGCAATCGTTGAGTTAACTATATTTCTTATGGAAAAACAAAAACGACAAACATATCGACATCTAATTCTCTTTTCTTTATTCTGGTGATTTATCTCGAAGACCAGATTTTTGTTGCCGATCACTATAATAAAAGGAAAAATAGAAACTGGTGTCAAAATGAAAATTAGACTCACTGAAGACTAAATATAGGTAATCTATTTGTTATATTTAATGGTTTAAAACTTTCGTGTGCTTCAAAAAAATTGTCCTGTGGATCATAACCCAATAATTCACACGTTGAATTAATGTCCATTCGATTAAATGTGTTACGTGAAAGGCCATGTACAATTGCGAATTTTACAGTAAGTGGTGCATCAATACATCTTTCGAATAAGTGAACAGCATCGGGTTGTGATAACCAACTATTCATAAGTGTAGCACTTCTTGATTCATCTTTTAAAACTGAATAAGGCAGATAGGAACCTATACGTATTGCAATTGTTGAAAGTTCTTCTTGCTCACTCATATAGCGCCCGAGTGCTTCACCAAAACATTTACTTACACCTAATAAACCAAATGACAAAATATGAAAATCTACTATCAGAAAATTTCACACCATAAAGATCTCCTGGATTGACTGGATCAGTTGTTCTAACTTGTATATCTTGAGGATAACCTGATATAGCATGAATAGAACTTGCATAAATGACTCTTTTTATGCCCGATTTTTTCGCTGCTAAAAATATATTGTATGTCCTATAATGGA